GACGGGGAGAGAGACAGAGCGAGAGACCGGGTTTCGTTTCGGGGTGAGCCAAGGGAGGGAGGCGGGGGAGGCACGGGATTTCACGGGAGGCTGATCACGAATGGACGCGTCTCCCGCAGCTCTGCCGCTGACAGCCAGGAATTGGAATTGCATCGGCGTCGCTCGATAGCCAGCCATCCCGCCAGTCAGGCAGCAAGGCAGCCAAACGGCCTAACAGGCAGAGCCCGGCCGTCCACGAACGCTACTGTGCTCGTGCCTGCCTGCCTGCCTGCCTGCTTACCTGCCTGCCTGCCTGCCTGCTTGCCTGCCTGCCTGCCTGCTTGCCTGCCTGGCTAGCTGGCTGCCTACGTACCGACCGAATCCACTGCCACCGCTCGCGTTTCCTCGCGCGCAATCCTCTCCGACGCGGATCCTCTCCGATGGATCTCTCTCCATGTTCTGTGAAGGGAGACAGAGATAGAACGCGAATAGGGGAAGGAGAAGCGGAGAAAGAGAGAGAGAGAGAGGAGGGAGGGAGGAACATAGATCCGGAGAGTCAAACGAGGCGGTTGGATGGACTAGGCGCCGATATATTTCATTCCTACGAATCTCGCAGCCACGCGGCTACATACGAATTTACGGCCAACACGTATGCTTTCGCGCGCGTGTACTCGTGTAACGCGAGATTGGGAGATCTCGCGAGCCGGGGATAGATGTTACGGCGAAACGAGAAATCTTCAGGGTACGAGGCTGCTTGGTTGAGCAGCAGGAGAGGGGGGGGGAGAAAGAGAGAGAGAGAGAGAGAGAGAGAGAGAGAGAGAAAGAAAGAAAGAGAGCGTTGATAAGTCGTCCGGGTGCTGCTCTCTCAAGGTGGCTTCCGGAACATTGGCTCCACTTTCTATCTCCTGTGTCTTAAAAGGAAATCATACAAGTTGGTAACGAACTCTCGCGCTCGTTCGGTCAGGTTCCGCGCTCTCGCGTGTGATCTGCGTCGTTTACTCGCGATCGCAATGATCGCGGGCGAAATCTGTGCAACAACGCTCCTTTGTTCGCCCCCCCCCACACATACACACACACACACACACACACACACACACATACCCACTCATATATATTCAGACACATGAGCGCATTTGTCATACGCGCGTAAATGCGAGAGACGAATCGCGAGCATCCTTAGGTCACCATCGTACACGCTTTACTATCGCAGAGTAATGCGATTCCCCCCGCGTGCCCTCTGTTTCCTGAAAACAGTTCCTCGTTATTTGGGTTATCGAGTGTATGTAGGTGTATGCGCGCCGCCGAACGGTAGGTAGACACGTTACGAGCACGTATAACCCGGATTGATGCCGGTCCACGGGGCTCCGCGAAATACCGGATACCCGCCTGCTCGCCAGTATTGTCGGACCAGTGTTTTCGAGGGGATTGGATTTTTTGATTTAGGGAGCATGCAGACGCCTGCTGCAGCCCGCTCGTTCGCTCTCTTTCTCTCTCTCTCTCTCTCTCTCTCCTTCCCTCGGCGTCGATTGCTATTCCACGCGCGGACTCGAATTTAACGTTGTAAAACAGACGTTATCCCGCGATTACGAGCGCGAGTACATGGAAGAAGCGCGCGGAGGATTGGCGCGGCGGCGCCGAGTCAGCGCTAGCCAGCGGTCGCTCTCGAGCGGCTCGCTCGCGATCGAGCGGGCCCCTCGAGGATCGAAATCGACTCCGCGGAACGCGAGAAAGCGCGCTTCGCTCGACGGACCGCACCGCGCGGTGTCCGTCTGTTAAGGGCACTCCCCTTAACTCGGCGGGAAACGACGGCTCTAGATATGCAAAGATAATCGCTCGGCGAGGACGCGTACAGGAGGACGTCCATTTCCGTCGTCGCGGTCGGCGCGAGCGTTACGAAACATCGAATCAGAGGACGGTTGTAACGTGGTAACGACCGTGAGGCTATAACCATTGTCGGAGGACGAGAGAGAAAAGGACCCTGGGGAGCGCGCGCGGTGCGTGGCATCGTTGTGCTCGCCCTAACAAGGCCCCCCGTTGCGTGCAGAAGCGGCCACGCATCAGCCACGCTAAACTAAAACCTCCCTTTTTCGCCTTCACGACCACTCTCGGCTCGCCCACGCCAACCCCTTGCGCGTCCGAGCCACCCCATCGTATCGATGGTCCTAGAAAACGGTCTCACCTCAATGCTAATAACGACGCGCCGATAGCAGCGCGACGAGCAGCCACACGCGGCCGCTCCCACACACGATCGAAAGCTCCCTGGTCTCTCCCTTGCTCCCCTCCCTCCCTCGCCCTTTCTTCCCCCTTACTTACCCTCCTTACTCACCCTCAGTCCGTTAGCGCGATCCTGCATTCCCACCCACGTGCTCACCGTTCTCATCCTCTCGCCGGGCGCTCACCCCTTTTTTACGACACCTCCCCTGCGCCCGCGATATGACTTATGTCCACGGGCGATGTCGTTCCGCGACATAATCGCGCCGTAGCGAGGAGCCAGCTCGCCCTCGTCGTCCTCGTAATGGACGTCGACGAGCCGCGACGACCTACGGCGATTATCGGGACGCGGGGGGTTCCCTCGCGAGGGGAACCACTTAATTTTCATGAGCTCGGGACGACGCGGAGATGCGACCCCTTTCCGCGAGCCACGCTCAAGCCGTAGAGGAAGAGAGAGAGAGAGAGAGAGAGAGAGAGAGACAGAGAGAGAGAGAGAGAGAGAGACAGAGAGAGAGAGAGAGAGAGAGAGAGAGAGAAAAGGGGGACCGTTGATCATTATGAAATAATAAAGTCTGCTAATGACGGTCTTTTGAACGAGTGACACCGCGTCGCCCGAGGAGGAGGAAGGGTCTGGCAATCCGCGCGGCGGATCGGTAATTACGTGCTCGGCAATCTCGGAAAAAATATGTCCTCGCGAGCACGTCGACGTTTGCAGAGCTCGCCGGGGCGAGGGTGTGTAGGCCTGCGAGCGGGAAACGGTCGCGTTTTTCCCGTCGGCGATCGCCGACGATTCTCGAATGTCTCGCCTCGCGCGAGTCGTACGTCTCGCCGATGGGTGCGGCACCTCGCGCACGCCGGGTTCAGCGTCTTCCGCGCGGGTTAGCGAGAAATTAGGTTGGGCGGCGTAGCGAGGAAATCGGCCGAAAGTTTCATCCGCTCTATGGCCGGAGCGTCGTCTCGTATCGCCCGCGACGGGAATAATCTCGCGAATGGGGGCTAAGTGCCGGGAGTTGGTGGCGAATCACGCGGAAGATAGTGTGACCTTTATCGTGACCCGCGGCCATAGGAATGGCGTGTAACTGCCGCCATGTTCAGACATTCGGTGACAGTTCTCGCAGAGAAGCGTCGATCTCCAACGGTGTGCACACACTCGCGCACACGTACGTAAACACACGCACGCACACACACACACACACACACACACACACACACACACACACACACCGCTCTCGTCTGCGCGTGGTTAAATAGACGGGCGCGGTAGAGGGGCAGAGAAATAAAGATGGGTACCAGAACAGACCGAAGGGCGGAGATTAAGGGTCGCCGAGGAGATGAGTTTGTTAAAAAGGCAGAAGCGGGCCAGCGGCACGCATCAGGGACATCAAAGCGACAAGACGAAATGAAATCCAACCGTTGCCACCCCTCGCGGAGAATCTTCTCTCCTCGTGTCCTCGTTCCCGTTCCTTTATTCGCTTCCCTCTTGCCTCAGAATCTTCGTGCCGCGCTGCGTCGCGCGCGCACCAGGCAGGCACCACCAGGGCTCTTCCTTTTTTCATCCCTTCGCTCCCTCAGTTTCTTCTTTTCTCTTTCTGTTCGCGCACCGTCGGGGGGTACTTCATATCCGTTCCGACTCTGACCCGGTGCACGCGGCCAAAGGAGGCGGAGAAAGAAGCGAGGGTAAGACCGGCAAGTGTGCGGCGAGGGATGGGGCTGGGAACCCTTTAAGGGAAGAGGAGAAGTGGAGGTGGCGAGGGGGGAGGAGGAGGAGGAGGAGGAGGAGGAGGAGGAGGACGGTAAACGCCGAGCGCACGGCGCGTCCCTCTCGCAATTTCGCCGCTTCGCAGCCGTGCCTCTCTAAGGCGTCGCTCGCGTATTTTCTTTTTCTCTTCTTCTTCTTCTTCTTCTTCTTCTTTTTCGCGATGGCATGCAGAGTAGAGTAATTAATTGCATGTTCGTACCTCTGACCGTCGAGAGATGCACGCGAGGTCCTTCTTATTACATAATGTCGGCAAACTGCAAGTATCTCGAAGCAGCTTCCCCGGATGTCTCTCTGAATGTCGCGTCTCGTCCTATTTCCTCCTTTTTCCTTCTCCTCTTTTTCTTCTTCTTCGTTTCTTTTTTTTTTCTTTCTTCCCGTGTTTCCTCCGCGGGAGTAACGCCAACCTTTCCCGCGAGCCGCTTTTATCGCGACGCTATCTTTACCGCGATATTGTTAAACTGCCGTCTCAAAAGTGCGCCGTCGAATAATCGAATCGATACCGCTTCCGCAATTTCAAGCGCAATCCTTTGGCCGCAAACTTTCGAATACGGCAGCCGCGCGGAAACCTCGCGTACCAGTTACGAATCCATTCCATCGCGCAATATTCTCTTCAAACCTCCGGTTTATCGGCTAATTCGATTACCGTAAAAAAATCCCACGGATATTCGCCAAGTTCTGTCGTCGTCGTCGTCGCCGTCGTCGTTGTCGTCGTCGTCGTCGTCGTCGTCGTCGTCGTCGCGTGCCAATAAAAGTCGGCGGTTACTTCGCGGGATAAAGCTGGAGAGCGAGCGCGCTCGCCTCCCCCTCGCCCGATTCAAATTTCCGTGCACGGGAACACGATCGGATCATAAATATGTATCCACTCCTATCCGCTAAATTCATGGAAATTCTTTAATTGAGTTATTTTGGTTTTCCTCGCGGGGAGCGGCGGGAGGGGGCGGGGCGCCGCGCCGCGTCGCGCCAGGCCGGGCGGATGGAGAAGCGAGTAGTCCTCGGGAAAAGCCCTGTGGGAAGCACGCAGCTTCAAAATCTTCTTAGACGCCGGCAACTTTGGATTGACGCGGCACTAAGATAGTATTATTTAAGGGCGCGAGGTCTACGATCGCGTTTTACGGAAAACCTTCCGTCTCGAGAAACGCGCCCTCGCTAGCCGTGTAAACTGCGTGTTAATCGGCAAAAGTGCGTGTGTGCCAAAGTCCAACTGCCCCCTTCCCCCCCCCCCTCCCCCTCTAACTCAACGAAATCGCAAAACTTTCTATCGCTCGTCCTTCTGCTACCTTAGTCGGATGAATGCAGTCCGCGGCGAGAAACAGCTCTCCATTACGTAACGCGCCGTCTATTTAGGTGTACCCTTCTGCTTCAGTCACACCTTTGTCTATAATAGATAATTGTTTGCGAGCCGCCTCTGCGTTTATTCTCGTCGCGGTATCGCTCGCCTCGGTTGCGCTCTTCCAACTTCTTCGAAGAAGATGATACCCGACGTCCGGTAGGTCGTGAGCTGATCTCCATGAGGGCGAGTTAGCTGATGGCATTCCGCGAGTGCACTCGTGACATTTTAATATCTCCCGGTGCGAAAGGGCTGGCGTGAGCGCATAAGGGGCAACGATGTGAACAGAGAAGGGCCGGTCGACGACGAAGTTGCGTGCGACGGCGGCGAGAAAGTAGAGAAAGTAACGAGAGGGGCTTGAAAGAGCGAGCGAGCCTGAGCCTCTGATGAGTTTGTCTAATGACTTGTTGCCAACGAAGCCGTCGTAACGAGGCCACCGATAAGTGGCGGCCGGGCGTCGTGTCTCTGCGTGAGTGAGCCGTTTCGAAGGGATTGTCGTCGTAGGAGCTTGCCTGAACGGAAGAACGAGGCAAGGTGGATGTAGGGTCGCTCGAGTTACGCGCCCAGCGACCAAAGCGCTCTTTTGTCCCCGCGGCTTGGACTGCTCGCGATCGAAAGGCCAGCACTAATAATAATCCCGCGCTCCGTCCGTTCACAGATCAATTTGCACCGAGAGGTTGCCGCCGACGCGGCAACGTCTCACCTCTCGTGGAAAGAAAAAAAAGAGGAAGGAAAAAAAAGAGAGAGAGAGAGAGAGATAAAAAAGAGCATAAAAGTATCGGCGGCGCTTTCGTTTTTACGACCGCGGCGCGATTGCTCTCGAATTATGTCGCGCTTGTTGTGTCTACGGAGAAACGACGTCTTTATCGTCCTCGCGGCAAGTCGGCAGTTTCCGCTCTCCTCTGCTTGTCGCTTTCTTTCTCGCCGCCATTGTATCCCCTAGATACTAGATGTCTACGCGTCTCTATAGCAACCCGTCGCTATATACTGCACGCAGAGAGATATACTGCGAGAGAGAGAGAGAGAGAGAGAGAGAGAGAGAGAGAGAGAATACAGGGTTACCTACACGCGGCACACTTACGTCCAGCGGGAGCATGCGTGTGTCCACTTTTGCCGCTGATAATCGCGGACGGAATGGCCTAGTTTAAGTGGTCGCCGTCGGCGGAGGAAAAGGCGAGAAATGGCACGGAGAGACAACGATCTTGTCGCGTAAAATCCCGTCGGCGCTCGCGGGGAAACGGATTTTAATTACGTCGAGTGTCTGGCCGGCAAACACGAGCGGTACGAGCGCTTCCCGATTTGCGCGGCTAATGCGCCCTTGGAGAATTACCATAAGCGGCTACGCTTTTGTGAGAGAAATTCACGTGAGATAAGAGCCGTCTGACACGATGGAGAACGGGAGAATCACGCGTGCGCCGGCAGTCTGTGATAGCAGTCGCGGCGCGAATACGCGCGTGTCGGACGACGCGTATCGACGGCTTGAAATAACCGCGACGAATTCTCTTGGTCGCGATGAGAAACGTGCGAATTATTCAAACTCGAGTCGGATCGAGTCCTGACTGTTCGCAATTCGGAATTATTCCGAGATTTCGAGCCGTGCAACTTTAAATGCATTCAAGACTCGGCGGGTAGAATCGGCTCCGGGCTGAGATGGTTCTTTTCGCGACTCTCAAGAGGGATCAATTGACGCGAAATTAAGTACTCGCGGAGATGTATAGTGGAGTTTTAACATTAATCGTTATAATTGAGGATAGTTTCTTTTTTTCTTAAAGCTTGACTCACCGCGATGTTGCAAGTCTGAAGAAAAGATATTCGACACGTGTGTGTCATCACACGTTTTCAAACATTGTTATTATTTTTCCGTAGTTCAAAATTTATTACTCGCAATAATATTCGACGGCCGACTCTTATAGGCCGTGTCATCAATTATATTGTTAAGAGGGGAATTATATGCGGAGCAGGCCGTTTTCAAGGCTATTTTTACGAATTTTTTTTAAACAGAAACGATAGGATCAATGGACTTGAAATTTTCACAATGTATTCATTAATGTTCAAGGTATAAAATAAATTTGTTATCATCTGTATGGAAAGTACACACAAAACTTTAAACGCGTTTATCTGGAAACACCATTTTCTTAAATTGTCGATTATACAAAAATACTACTGAACCGAATAACTTAAAATTTTTACACAATATACAGTAGACATGTAGTTTTCGTTCCTACCGCGAACAGAGCTATATTTCATTTGATTCATTTTTTAAGCATTGCATTGCGTGATTGCAAGTGAAGAATCACTTTCGATACTCTTTTTTTATATCAGTCATTATTTTTCCAAACTTGGCTTCATTGCCTTTATTTTGGTACGGTTATAATGGCAACCGTATATTTTAAAAATCTCTCTCATTTTTTCGTTTCAGAGTAATGAGAGGCCCGGAATTATGTCGACAACAAACATAGAGCTCGCAAACGGATGATTGCATTTTTACCTGTAATTACAAATTGTATCGGTTCTTGAGATTGAATAAAATTTATTTTATATTTTAAACATTAATGAATATATTCTGCGAAAATTTCAAGTCCATTGATCTTATCGTTTTTGTTAAAGGAAAACTTCGTAAAAATAGCCTTGAAAACGGCCTTCAGCATGTAATTAAAATCCCCTTAATTAAAAGTTAGGTTTCTCGACGACTCAATTTCGATACGACCCGATAGGGAGAATCGCGTCGATTCGCGCGTCTCCATTCGTGCGTCATCCACGTGTGTCGTCTTCTCAGCCGCATTTCCGCAGTTGCGTTATTAAAAATGTACATTTTGCGCGATTCACGACTGCATTTCTCCCGATGCGGCCGCGAGGGACTGGCGCGTCAGCAGTTGCGAAATCGCGGCATTAATATTAGGCAACTTACGCAAAACGCCGCGTGCTTGTAACACCCGTAAATGGCGCGGTGTAGGTCGAACAGCGCTGAGGGGAAAAGCCCCCTGATGAATTGTCCGCACGTGTCTGCCCGCGTACCGCCGCCTAATTACATGCTGATCACAGTGACTACCTATACCGTCCCCTGAAATGCGAAATTGCCTATTGTCCACGGTTTCGCGGTCAAAACGACCAGCAGCCTGCGAGCGGACTCTAACTCTTGATACGTTCCAAATGGCATTATTAGTATCCCCATGGTATCTCGATGACGAGAGAGCTCGGCTCTCCATTTCCGACGGGATCGCTATCGCGAGCTTCCTGCTGGAGCGCGTCGCGTTGACGTTGACGTTTTTGAGCGATCTCGCATTCCTTACGCTCCCGAAACGAACAAAGCAGAGAGTCTCCCTTTAACAAGTACCGATCGCGCTTCGCCGGTGTAATTTGGACGTGCGAGATGATTGCGATATTCCGTGCGGCAGTTTCGAGCGCGAATATATCGCGGCCGCGACATTTATAGCGCAGGCCGCTGGCGCTGCGCATATTTGATCGCCAATCATCGTTTATCTTTCGTCGAAGAACAACGTCGAAGGCAACAGCGGCAGATCGATATTCGCGTTTCGGCATTTCCGCGGATGGGATCGCGGCTGGGATCGCTTGAAAAATCGCCGGCATTTTGGAAAGGCGATTGGTCTGGCCGATCGACATTTATTTTTATCTCACCCTTAAAATTGTCCATCGTGGCGTGAGTCGTGGATTGATGTGTTTGCTGGAGTCGCTGATAGATGGAGGCGCCCGTGTTGTCGGCGCCCTTTCTACCCCCTTAACATAGACAAATGCTTCCTACCCACCCTAACAAATATCTCCTAGATTTATTATGCGAAACCACCCCGGCCCTCGCCACGCGACGACTACGTTCCTGAAAGTTTCGAGAGCAAAAAATTGGCGTTCTTTTCGTGCGCGCTCGTGCGTGAGGGTGGCAGACATGCCGCGAGGAAGGCGGCTCGGTTTTTCAAATTCACGACGGATCTGATAATGAATTTTTCTCAGACGTCGCGCTCTCTCGCCGCGCCGCGCCGCGGCGTTGTCTCGCGCGTTTCTCCGCGCGATTGCGCGCGCTGCTTCAATGTTAGACGAAGAGAACGGGCCGCTGCGCGAGCCCGATCGAATAATCATCGCGAGTAACACGGCCAAATTGAAACTCAATTACGAGGAGAGGAGCGAGCTTCGCACCGCGACGCGCCATGCGACTCCTCCTTTTGCCTCGGCCAAAAATACCAATAAAAAACAGAGCGCCGGGGACGCGAGAAAAAAGGACGAGCGACGCATATAGATCAGCCATCAGCCGCCGGGCTGAAGTTCATTATCATTACTCGCGGTTCGCGTGACGCGACACGCGGTAAAATGGTAGAACGCGGTGGACGACGCCGCCACCGCCGCCGCCGCCGCCGCCGCCGCCGCCGCCGCCGCCGCCGCCGCCGCCGCCGCCGCCGCCGCCGCCGCCGCCGCTG